TATAAAACTTAGGACTTTTATGATATATTTCCTTATTAATATTATATATGCTTATGTTATTTGACATCTCTTTTAATAAGTAACTTTTTAATTTTTGTTTTGCATGCAGTACATAATTAAAACGGGCGAGGGTGATAACGAGCAGTGCATTAGTGGGCTTGTGGCTTTGGATATTCCTCCTTCTAGGGGTCCACTCTGGTACTAGTTGTATTTATGGTTTTAGATGTTAAGTACAACCAAATATTTTTCACACTTAATTTTTACAGACTTTTTTTGTATCATGTGATGCAGGATATTGGGAGATTTGTTTATGCGTCGTTACCACACTATATTTGATTATGACAATCTTAGAGTTGGATTTGCAGAAGCTGCATAAAGAAGATATTTACATGATCCTATATGTTTTTTTTTTTCTTTTAAAAATAGTCTATATATCAATGATCTTCTTTTGGAAGAATTATGTAAATGGAAGCAACAGATTGATCATTAGGCAATTATGTTTATGAGATGAACCAATGGAGAGGTTATCACAATATGAGTAGAGACTTAACTATTACAAAATCAACAATGACAAAAATAACAAAATCCTTTGTAAGATTATTACCTTCAATTACTTAGCAATGATGCAAATAAGTAATATGTAACATCGCAAATTTTCAACAAATTTAAACTTTTCAAAACAACCAATTTATTAATTGAAATGTTTACAAAACCATTGTTTCCAAAACATTATTTAAAATCAGAGTTTCCCAAGATACAACCAGTCAGAAAACCAAGGATGTGGACTGTCAAGCCTTCGCCTTGCCACAATCATCTGAAACACCTGCAAAAATAAATTGAAACTATAAGCATGAAGCTTAGTGAGTTTCCCCCAAAGTACCACCACATACACATAACAAACAACAACATGCATACAGAGCCTTCAGTCGACTAGATCGACGCACTACCTATAGACTATCTGGACCGCTCACAAAACCTTCAGCATGACTGGACGATCTCACCGGGCCTTCATCCTATTTGGACCATTTTCCGGGCCGTCAGCCTGACAGGTCCGCCTCACAGGCCTTCAGTCTATACAGGCCATCCTGGGTCTATTAGCCTTCAATCTCCACTGATCTGCCACGATGCAACCACATATAACATGTCGACATATAACACAACCACATATAACATGTCGACATGTATAACATATAACCATTCAGCAGACAACAAGCATATCTAACAGATCACTACAACATATCAACATCCTATATACCAGGATACCGATCTAAAAGATCACTACAACATAACAACATCCAATATACCATGATACCGATTTAACAGATCACTACAGCATAACAACATGCTATATACCAGGATACCGATCTAACAGATCACTACAACATAACAACATACTAAATATCAACAATCTAGGGAATACATAACCTTATATACTTAGAGGTGAGATAGGCATCCGGACAGGTGATCCTACTCTAGAACCACAACGAAATAAGGAACAGGTAAAAGATCCTAGATCAAGAGTTATCAGCCTATCCTACATGAATATATATAAATCTTTGACCCACGAGTACAGTAAGGAAAAATCACTTCGCAGTCATAACAATAGCTGATGAGGTCCCGACTCCCAATCTCAGCTCTAACCGACATCTATCCACCCAAAAGACTAATTCTCAAACACCATCCAAAATACCCAACATACCCTTTGGTCAACCTTGGTCAATATCAAAGTTAAACTCGTCAAAATCCATAAGTTAACTGAGTCAACCTAGTCGAGACGAAACAATTCAAGTACGCGGGGCGTACTCTAGCATTAACCGCCCTCGAGAGGCTTGACCACGCACGCGCTATGTACTCAAATTACGCAGGGCGTAAGCCTAGTTTTCCCAAAAAAACCTCTTTAATAGCTTATCACATTAAGCTCTTACATCTAATCTTCAGATCCAAGGTAAAAATACCACTCAGAGTCATAAAGTTTCCAACTTTATGACTTTGCATGTCCATGAAGTGCTTAATCCATAAAAACTCAACATATTAATGCATTAAGACATTCCATACCATGCATGGAGAAAAACCAACCCTTAATACAACATTTTTGTGGTTTAAGATCCCTCTTAAGGTCTAAAAGGATGGCTTAATGGGTCAAGAACATGCCATGCTCAAGACTCATCAACTTTGGGACCAAAAATGACATAAAATCATCATATAAACAATATTTAACAAACAAGACATCAAGGTATGAACTTTATACCTTCTAATGATGGGGAATGATGCAAAACTTCCATATCCAAGCTTGCTTCTAGCTTCCAATCTTCACCACCACCTTCTTCTTCCTTTGAAACACACAAAAACCCACACTTAAACTTTCAATTGCTTTAATAGGACTTGGGTATGCAAGAGAAGACGTTTATGGTAATGGAGGATGGAAATGGGGCTTAATGATGTTTAAATATGGTCAAAACCCTAAAAACTAGGGTTTGGAATTTGGCTACGTACGTCATGCGTACGAGTGTATGCCTAGCATACTAGGTCATACCCTAGTACGCCCAACGTATGCACGTACTGTTGGATTAGTGTCTAAGTCCATAACTATTTTGGTATGTACTTGACCCGATGGTGCATGGTCCTTTTGGGTTGCCTTCACCGAAGCAACTTGATTGGAGAAATATATATAGAGAGAGAGAGGATAATATGATTTATTAATATGTTATAAGAATAATATATTAAAGGAGAAATCATATTTGTTTAATTAATATTGGTCAATAATTAATTAAGAATTAGTTTTGTGATCAAATGTAATTAATTAAACTAGAGGGGCTGATTTGTAATTATGTGATAGTTACAAAATAAGGTAAGGATTATCTTATTTATATGGTGGACGAATTTAAGGTTGGAAAGCCTTAGAATTCGAGTATGATAAGGATTCAAGGATTATCTTATTGGTTGCTTAATGGATAATCAACTAGATAAGGATAATGACTGAAGCCCTATCTCTACACCTATATAAACACCCCTAGGGTCATGAATTCGTGTATCCTTTCCCAAGAGGTCCTAGATACGAATTCTAACCTCTCACCTCTCTCTTTATACCTTCTCCATTTGCTTATGGTGTTTGTAAGCCATTAAAGGAGTGACACTTGTGACTCTAAGCCTTCCAAAGTCAATTCAAGGAGGAATTGGGATTGTTATTGCTACATAACAATCAAGGTAACACTATAAACTTATTCTCATGTTAATATGATTATATGTATGCTAGAATTAGGGTTTATAGTCTTGGATTCAAAGCATGTACAATAGAGAAACCTAGATCCAAGCATTAGGGTTTGTATGAGCACATAGGATGTCTTATGACCAAAACCCATCAGTGGTATCAGAGCCTAGCTTGGTTTCAATTGTATTGATGCATTGTATAACTGGAAAATCGTTTTTTGGGCTTTATGGCTGAGGAACTCGGCGAGTACCACAGTGTACTCGGCGAGTAGACCTCAACTTGGCGAGTACAGTGTGGTACTCGGCGAGTTCGAGCGTCAGATAATGCTTATCTCGGGATTTCTTGCTGTTTTTGCATTTGGATAGTTACCTTATCATGTTAGATCAATATAAATCCGATTTTATGATATATATGACTATATTCTTGATCTAATTAAAGATAATTATCAATTAACAAGATAATTGTTTCCTTATAAGATAATTGATTAATTATTTTGAGTAAATTGATAAATTG